ATTTTGTTCTATATAAGTTTTATCTCAATACACCTGACTTTAAGGAAAATGCTTGGGCCAGGGTCAAACAGAGCCTTCTTAGGCCTGCCAGGTGGTAGGGTGGTTAAGGTGGCTGGAGCCCGCATGGCCAACTGCACATCGCAAGTTCCAGACCTGGCAGTTTGAAACACACGTCAGGTGCGTGTGCATGCGTGCAGGAGAAGGGATTGCAGCATGGCTATTACCCCAAGGGGAGGGGGTGTTGCTGTCTCACTTTCTTTCTCTCTCCAGGAAGCACACGTACCCTATAGCAAATAAAAAAGGGGGGAGGGGGAGCTCTCCTTTGAAGTGCCACTCAACTAGGAGCACCTTCTCTTCAACTTCCCTCCAGCTCTCGGTTTGGGTTTTCAAATTACATCCCTGTCCCTGCCTGTCCCACATCTACTCGGCCTGGACAGATGAAATCGCTCATTGCCCTGAGGACAACAGCAAATTATCACCCCTGTAAGAGGCAGTCGCTGGCCAGGCATAGCTCCTTCTCAGGAACCCCCATGGACTCAGCAAGAACCTCAAAAGCCTCCCAATCACCAGTAGCTGTGAGCAGGCACCCACTAGGTAGGCAGGGGCTGCCCGGCTGTCGAGAGCCCTGAGCCACCAGAGGGCCACGGGACTTGCTCTTGGCTGTGAGGGACGCTCCAGAAATAGACCACACGAATGTTGGAAGGAACAGCGGCCTCTGCGTACACGGAGTATAAATATGGTGCTGACACGACCCGTCTCCTGGGCCGAGGGCCTCCGTGGCTCTGCCCAGCTGCAGACACCAAGCTGGCAGGATGTGCTTGTTGGCATGGTGGGCCTCAAGGAGGCCAGATCAGCCCGTAGCGTTCTGGTCATGAAAATCGGGAGCCTGTCCCGGCTCCTGCTCTCCCTCATCCCCTCACCCCGTCTGTCACAGGTCCCAGGGCACTCTGAGGTCTGTTTGCCTCCTTCACCACTCCCTGCAATGTGAACGCCTGCCTGGTGACGGGCACCTCCTATCTCATTCCCAGCTCCTCGCCTGCCTCCCCAGTCTCATGCCTCCGAAGTGTGACAGGTGCTCCTCCCAGTGCCCAGAGCGCCCTTCCTTCTTTGTTGGCTGGAGATGCCCCGTTCATTCTTCAAGACCCAGGTCAAACATCTCTTCTGGGACAAAACCTTCTGTGATGGGCACCTCTTCTCCCTCATCACCTGCCACGGAGGTGTCCTTCCTTGACAGCCACTGCCACATGGTGTGCGTACGAGAGACTTTCAGGCCAGTGTGGACAGCTGAACTATGACATCGAGACCACGGTCTCAATGCTGGGTTCCTGGTGTTTGCGGCCTCTCTGCATTCTGTCTACAAAAGCTGGAGAGAGGAACGAACCCCGAATTATCCAGCCTGGTGCTGAGTGCTTTAAGAAGCCTGAGGACGAGGAGGAGCAATGTTTGCCTCCAGAAGCCTTCATGGCTCTCACACTACGATGGAACAGCAGGGGAAGGGACAGGAGCTATCCTGGAGGAGGGACCTGCATTCCAGCTGTGACTTGCCACATGACAGTGGTGAGCCCTGGGCTGCTTTATTCTTCTGCTCAACAAAGGGCAAGACGGGGGAGGGTCAGCTCCTATCCAGCTCCAGCCCGAGTAGTGCGCAAGCTTCATGGAACCCCAGCAGCCTCTCAGCAGGGCAGACCTCAAGGGACTGGCCAGCAAAAGGAGGCCTGGAATGATGATCTAGAACAGTTGAGTCTGGCTGGAAAATTCTCTTCAAGGAGTGGGGAAAGCCCTAGGCAGCTCAGATGAGAACTCAAAACACTGACCTGGTGACAAATCTGCTTCCCAGGCAGCTGAGCAGGTGGCATATCACAACTCTGGAAGGGAGGGCTCAGACACCTCATAGCCTGGGTGAAGTGTCCTTGGAATTGGGCTGAGTACAACCTGGGCAGCTGTGCGATAGCCACAGCAGGTCCTGTAGGAACAGGAGGTAACTGGCCCTCAAAACCCTAGGGCCCCGAGCAATGATGGAGGGAGACTGCGGGCAACAGCTCTAGCTCAGGGTGGTCTGGGACACTCCTGAGAGTCATGATGTCCCCTGCCCAGAAGCAGCCCTACACCCCTGGGCTCGGCGGACAGAGCATGGGTGCTGGGCAAGAGCACCTGGGGGAAGCGCATGCCTGCTCAGGGCCTCACAGCCAAATGGAGCATGCCCAGAAAGACACAGGGCTCTCTGCTGCTTCCCGTCAGCCTGGAAGAAGACTCCAGCCATCACCTTTAAATCTCTGAGGGGCTGTCATGGACCACGAGATGCCAGCTTTCTGGGTGACGCACGGAGGTTGAGGGTGTATAGGTGTACGGGTTCAGGAGTGAAGTAGTAACACAACTGGATTCACATGGGAAAGGTCCTGAGTTGGCATCCGGGGACCTCCCTGAGCACGCCAGGGTCACGTGTGTGTTCATGCATCTGGCTGGCCAACACTTGGTGGGCTGTGATGTGAAGATCCCATTGGGGTATCTGTCTCTGTCTCTCTCATGGAAGAAATGAATAAAATTAAAAGAAAAAGGG